AATCAATGAATGTTGTCAAACATATGGTTCATTTATGAAAGAGAGTGTTCTGGAGATATAAAAAAGGCCTTTGAATTTATTCTATGTCATAAAACAAAGATCTGCATTAAAAGTGAGATCTACCTTTTGGAGTTCAAACCAAAATCGGATGAGGTCAACATTAGATGGAGCCTTCCAGTCTAATTGCAAACTAGTATTCTCTGGAACCAAGGCATAAGGTTCCTCCGGTGTGTCAAACATTTCGACAGCGACAGGACGACTCTCAGCACACCACATGTCCTCGGCGTGGCAGGCCAAAACCTTTTCATAAAGAAGAGTAATTGCTTAACCTTTCCAGAACCTTGCATTTGACAATGGCAATAAAAGTACCCAATACAGTCACCATACCTTTACCACATACAGTTTTCCACCGGACAGTCTAGTAACAAGGAGAGAGAGCCTTCCATTGGGATATTCACTTTGCCTTAATGGAGTCTCAGGAATTGGGGCCAGATGTGAGATTGCCACCTGATAGCGGACTGACTCTTTTGGTCCATTTGGCTTGGGAGATTCTCTCCAGGATATGACGAGGCTGGTGTCTGACTGCACAGTTGTGTTAATGAGCCAAACTGCCTCTGGTACTGAAATAAATAGCAACACATGATAAGGGATGTTGCAACAGCTCTGAAAGATGGAAACAAATAACGGGGTCTTGGTTGAGGAATAAGCATATCATGTGAGCAGAATGAATGACAGATGTTCCGAAGGAAAGCCAGCCTCTTACATAATGGGAAGTTAACACAGGCTGCCCGAAAGACTCTCGCTTATTTTTGCCTGATGACTAACTCATTCTCTGACTCCAGCTCAAGAACATGGCCAAAGATGAATAATTCAGTTCGGGTGAGTTTTGTGAATGCCATCAGAGGCACCTGAAAGAAATGGCATCACCTCATAATAACTGCCCCCTCTTAGAACACCTTTTTAGATTCGAGATCCATTTTCTTTAAGGCAATGATGTTAGATTACTTTAAATCTCAGTGGCCTCAGTAAATTTCACATAGAGAAAAGGCTTGTCTTTCCTAGGTCTCACCACATGTACAATGTGGATAAATATATGTGAAGAGAGTGCCACTGTGTGGTAAGACCAAAGAATGGGTTTCTGGTCACAATGAATCAATGGTGATGTTTTGCCTTATAGTTGCTTTTTGTTTTGATGGAATATTATTTATCATCTTCTAGTGTTACAGTAAGAATCAGGTCATCGATTATAAATCAATAAAAAATGTTTAAAAAATAAAAAATAAAAAAATCAGGTCATCAAAATATTTTTCTGAAAATGCATTTTCCTTACTAAACTTTAAAGAGCTCACATAATAAATATTACTTAGCATCCAGATAAAAACCAAATATAGACACACATGTGACATTATCACAAAATTCCACTCTAAAAACCCACACCACGCCCATAACTCACCTCCACTTTTAGTTTTTCCCCAAATCTCTTTTCCCAGAGGTAACAGTTCCAAAGGATCTGAATAATAATTCTTTACAGCTATCTGTATCATATATGTTGAAAATGGCTGTAAACCTTCAATAAGGGCTATACTCTTCTGAAATTCCTGTAATTAATTAAAAAAAATCTGATTCTTATTTTTTTTGTACAAATGAGGAGAAAGTATTTAATCTAAGAGGAAAAAAATGACAATGTTCACTGTCCTAGTCTGCCCAGACCTGGGTGGTTTAATGTCTCCAAGAATTAATGCCAAATGATTGATTGACAACCCTCAGTCAGTTTTGTGACATAATCATTTCATGTGGGAAGCTAAATTCCCCGTGGACACTATCTCATTAGCATTGCATTAGAAATTCAGCAAGAAGGTATTGTAAGGCTGTGATATATTAGTGAATACAATAAAAGATTAAGCTACATTATCTAATCATTCTTAGAAATAACATTTAAGAAAATAAAAAGGCTTTCCTTAGATCAATGGTTCTCAACTTTGGTTATATTTTGGAATCATCTGGAAGTTTTAAGAAAATACTAATGCCTGGGTCCCACCCCCAGAGATACTAATTGCACTGGTGAAGCATGGGCCCAGAGATATTAAAAGCTCCCATTTGCCATCAAGGTTAAAAGCCACTCACTGCCTTTGACCCCTGTTAATCAGTGTGAAGACAACAGGATAGATTAGCTGTAATAAGAGAAATGTCCAATGCCAGAAAACCCATCTTGGTCTCTGAAACAATTTCTCTTAGAAATATGTAAAGAAAGTTTAAAATAGATAAAATGAAGTAATAAGAATCAGTGTACTTTCTGGCAAAGTATACAGTGCTTAATGATCAATAGATGATGGTCAAGTTCATCTTTACATTTAGTTAAATAATAACACAAAGAAAAATACTGGATACCTATGATTCCATCACAAGGACAACTGAAACACCAGTGCCAATGATGAAACGAATTGTGTCTATTCATTGATTCAAGAAATATCTAGTGAATGCCTATTCAATGCCAAGTACTATGCTGGGTGCAAGGAATAAAATAATGAATAAAAACAGATATAGTTCTTGCATAATAGCACATTTCACAAAATATAGGACATAAAAATATAATGTACAACTTTTATATTTGTATTACCTATATGCTATGGAGGAGAGGTACACAGTAATGCTATGTCTGTCCAATTCCTTTCTTACCCCTCAATCTGCTGGAGAGGCCACAAAAGTGTCTCTATCACTTTCTGGGGTAATTAGATTATCAGGGAGGGCAACAAACCCAGGTCTTTCAGTACACGCAGGAAACAGGTACTATATGCAATCCACCAACTGGTTAGGACTAATATACGCCTTGAAGCTTAATTTATTCTCGGACAAGAAGACTAAAATATAATATTTTTGGATGAATCAGCTGTAAAAGTTTGCATAATGGCCTGTTTCAGAACATAATAAATACTGTGGCTGAGAATTCTCTTTTTAGAAAAGGGGCATCTTGTGGAAGGACAATCAGCTCCACTCTTACCAGCATTCTATCTTCCAGTTCAGAGCTGTTTTTCCTGCCATTAACTTCTTTGTAATAAACCAGGTACGTTGGAGTAGGGCTGGTGATTCCATACCACGTGAGGTTTGTCCTGGCAGGTGGTAATCTGATTGTAAGGCTGGTGTTAGTGGCGTTAAGTATAGTCGGCTCTGCAATATCTGAAGCTAAAGACAGAAATGCTCTATCTAAAACAATAATACAAAAAAGATTAAATATATACACACATGTATAAGAGAGAAACAGCAGATTCATTTAACATCAAGGGTAATATCCTTTATATTTATTTAACTGATAAGGTATGATATATTGGAGTGCTGGAAATGTTATCAAGGACAGAAAGACAAGCCTTTCATATATTTTGAAGATGTTTAAATGCTGCACAGAAAGAGCAAAGTAACTGGTAATTACTTCAAATTGCCAGCAGATGGAGTTAAAGTACCCTTGATAACGGACCCAGACAGTAGCAATATAAAGTGACCATTCTTTTATTTTGAAGAAAGTAATGAGCAACTATATCAATCATATTTTAAATGAATTACAGCTATGAAAACTGATACTACCTTTGGGACTTTTATTTTTAGAGATATGTGTGTGTTCAACTTCAAACAGAAATGGCATGGACTTTTTAAATCTCCTAAATGAATTCTTTTACCAAAATGTGAACTTAGCTTATTTATAAATTCTCCCACTTTTCATATTCTATAACTTACATAATTTATAACTGAATATATTTAAGCAAAGAGGCTTTGTTTTGTTCCTTTCCGTCCCTTTGTAAGAGGGAATTATACTTAATTTACAATAACATTGGACTTTAACAGCAGAGAGAGCTTGAAAAAACTCAGAAACTACTCTAGGTTTGAATGTTCCCCATGAGGTTATATAATGCTGTTTTTGTTTTTGGTTGGTTGGCTTTTATATTTCAAGTATTCTTTTATTATGACTCTCAGCAAAAAAATATGTAGTCAGTTCTGCATCATGTGATACACGCATTCCTAAAAGTCATCGCATTACACAAAATGGCACAATAAAATCCAGAGAGTTTATGGCAGAAATCAAGTTGGGGCACAACTTCACGAGTGACACATTAAACAAAATAGATAGGAATTTAATAAACATGGTAGCACAAATATACACATGTTAAATGCCTGACATACATAACACTGCAATAACTAAGGTGCTTTACCTAGAAAAAGATCTGAAGTTTTAATGCAATGCTTTTTGACACTATCGGATGGTCTAAAATAGCATCAGAGGAGAAAAAAGATGGAAAGAAGGGAAATTATGGGATTGAGAAGAGAAAGAGGACAGAGAGAGAATGACAGGACCAGGGATTCATGTCTAAGGTGGCCTGTCACAGCCCAAGCCATGGATACACATGGAGATCAACAGCGACCAGGGCAAAGGGCAGTCGCGGTGCCCATCAAAACCTGACCATCTGGAGCAACGCTGAGAGCACAGCAAAAGAACTGGAGGTTAACAACACAACATTGTAAATCCACTGCACGTCAGTTAAAGAAAGAGTTTGAGGACCATCGCTGGAGGAGACATTATGGGACTTTTCTGATCCTAAACTGGGAGACCAAGCTGAGTAAGAAAGTGAGTTTATTACCTGGAAAAGGCTGCAGAACCGAACTGTAAACCAAGATACGCTTACTCCTTGGAGCCTCTACCTGAGAGAGGATGACCCCATTGCTTTTCTTTACTTGATAAATCTGTGTGCTGTCCTTTGCTGTGGCAATCCAATAGAGAAACTCCCCATCCACGGTTAAGCTAACAAGTGTTTTTCCTGTTGACGAAAAACATAAACCAAAAGAACATAAAGAACAAAATACATATCTGATGTTTTCCACTCTCAGCGATACGTGAAATCCTTTTTCTGTAGCATAACTGCTAAATTTTGAAACTTTCTATCATTTCACTATGAAAAAAATAACTTTCATTTTCTGTCGTTAGCCTAAGGATTTTATAGCTATTTTCTCACTGTATCTCCATATCAAGCCAACAAAGTAAATATTATAATTAGTAGCCTGGTTTTGTAGAGGGATTAAATAATCCCCTAAAGGCCACAAAGTCAGTCAAGAGCAGAGCCAGGATTTAAAATCTACCTGTGGGACTCCAAGTCAAACAACGCCAACTGATGGGAGATACTGGATGAGGCACAGGGCTCAGTGCCTCGCTCAATGTTTTCATAGTGATTTGGAATGAATGCATAGTAAACATATTTATCAAATGTGCAGATAATGCATGATTCTTACTGTCACTAGTATGTTTAGTCACTGACTTGACATTCAAAAATATCACAGCAGAATCATGAAATGGATTGAGAATTAACAGGAACAAATGTAACATCCTAAATTCAAGTTTAAAGTCGAATCTATAAATAATGAATGAAAGAAATCTGGCTTACTAGCAGTTAACACGACTGGGATATTATGCCGTGCACCAGAAATTGACACCTTGTAACTGACTATACTGCAATTAAAAAATAAAAAAGACGATGGATTCTTCAAACGGCAAGCAGCCCAAAGACCTGATGCCACTTTGAGCTGCAGTAAAAGACAACTTGGGAAGTCCTAGGCCCTCTGCACTGACCAGAACATATTGAAAGTACAGTGAGTCTTTATGGGGCAACATTTAAGACAATAGTGAGCAGCTAGGGTGAAACCTCAGGAGGGTGACTAGGACAAAGAAAGATTTAGAAGCCACATCACCTGAGGAGTAGTTATAGATGCTTGAATTTTTCCTCTAAAGGAAATGCTGAGAACGGGCTATGACAGCTGTCTCTACATAGTTGAATGGCCACTATGCAGAAAGTGATTGATTTATTCTTTGCAAATGTAAAGGTCAGAACTCAGACCAATGAATGAGAGGAATGGGGAGAAAAATCTGGCTGAACATAAGAAAAATATCTAATATTTAGAATTGTCCTGAAATTAGACTTCCCTACAAGGTAGTAAATTGTTTTAGAAGCATGTGTTCGAGCAAGGCTGTTTTTGTAGAGGGGATTACTTCTAATATGTCAGCTAAATGATCTCTAAAGTCATTCTGATTTTCCAATTTTAGGATTACATATTTCAATTATGGATTCATGAAAGACTGACCAGTTTTGTACCTATAAGATAATGGCCCATTAGATAATTCTTGCGTATCAGATGTTAAAGAAAAATTATTCTGACACTTGTCTAAATGATAAGGAAGATTTTAATCAAGACTGTTGCAATATTGCAATCCAAATACAACAAAGACAGCTGGGGGTTTACAGCCAACAAGCAGAATGAGGGAGCTAGTGGACAGAAATTACTAAGAGGAGACATCAAGGGGAGGAGGATTCCTGCTAAACTGGCCTAATAGGATTTTTGCTAAAGGCAAGCTAAGAACATCAAGAGTGGAGGATGAACGTGATCAGATACCAAGGGTCGGGGAATCTCTTTAAACTGATTTGGCTTGCTAGAACTGGACTCAGTAAGGATGGACACCCAAGGCCAAGTCTGAAGCCTAGCTGAGAATAGAGTTCAGAGGAGCCTAACTAAAGTTTGATCAAGGAAAGAGTGTTTGTCACAGATTCAACATAAACAAGTCATTCTCCTAATAAGAGAAGTTCAAAACATTATCTTTACTCTTAAGCCCATTGGAAGTACACTGGAATTGTTTCTAAAAGGCTCTGGGTAACATGTCAACAAAACCATATATGCAGTTATAACGCACAAACACAGACACTCAAACACACACACACACAAACTTGCAATTTCAAAACTTTACTATAAAGTTGAGCAATGACCAATAGCACTTTTGATAATGGAAATAATTTATATCTATGCTGCCCAATACAGTAACAATTAGTAACCTGTGGGTTCTGAGCATTTAAAATGTGACTAACATTGCTGAGGAGTTAAATTTTTCATTAATTTAAACTTAAATCACCCTGTGTAACTAGTGATTACTCTACTGGACAGTAAGTAATAGACCCTTAAGAATATATGGGGGTATTTATCAATTAATTTATTTTTTTATTGAAATATAGTTGGTTTATAATATTGTGTTAATGCCTGGCAAACAGCACAGTGATCCAATCATATACATAAATATATATGTATATTCCTTTTCATACTCTTTTACATTATAGGCTATACAAGGTATTGAATATAGTTCCCTGTGCTATACGGTAGGATCTTGTTGTTTATCTATTTTATATATAGTAGTTAGTATCTGCAAATCTTGAACTTTCAATTTACCCCTTCACCTCCCCTGTTCCTTCCTGGTAACCATAAGTTTGTTTTCTATGTCTGTGCGTCTGTTTCTGTTTTGTAAATAAGTTCATTTGTATCATTTTTTTAGATTCCACATATAAGTGATGTCATATGATATCCTTCTCTTTCTGGCTTACATCACTTAGTATGACCATCTCCATGTCCATCCATGTTGCTGCAAATGACATTATTTTATTCTTTCTTATGGATGAGTAGCATTCCATTATATTTGTATGTATGTATGTGTGTGTGTGTATATATATACATACATTTATACCGCAACTTTTTTATCTATTAACCTACTGATGGACATTTAGGTTGCTTCCATGTCTTGGCTATTGTAAATAATGTTATGAACATTGGGGGTGTGTGTATCTTTTTGAATTAGAGTTTCCTCTGGATATATGCCCAGGAGTGGGATTGCTGGGTCATATGGTAAGTCTATTTAGTTTTTTAAGGAATCTCCATACTGTTTTCTGTAATGGCTGTACCAAACTACATTCCTACCAACCATGTAGGAGGGTTCCCTTTTCTCCACACCCTCTCCAGCATTTATTGTTTGTGGACTTTTTGTTGAAGGCCATTCTATCTGATATGAGGTGATACCTCATTATAGTTTTGATTTGCATTTATCTAATAATTAGTGAAATTGAACATTTTTTCATGTGACTATTGGCCATTTCTGTGTCTTCACTGAGGAAATGTTTGTTTAGGTCTTCTGCCTATTTTTGGATTGGGTTGTCTGGTTTTTGTTGTTGTTATTGAGTTGCAAGAGTTGTTTATATATTCTGGAAATTAAGCCCTTGTCAGTTGCATCATTTGCAAATATTTTCTCCCATTCCATAGGCTGTCTTTTCATTTTGTTTATAGTTTCCTTTGCTGTGCACAAGCTTATAAGTTTAATTAGGTACTATGTGTTTATTTTTGCTTTTATTTCTAGCCTTGGTAGACCACCCTAGGAGAACATTGCTAAGCAGAGAGTGTTTTGCCTATGTTTTCTTCT